ATTTGATTTCCACAAAAAAGAACTTACATTAGGCCTTTGTGTGTGTAGCAGGCTTCACTGGCTATTTGGGAAGAAGAAAAAGTTTGTGTCACAAATGTCACTCAATTCAGTCTCAAACTTCCCCCCCGGTGGCGAGCAGCCCCCCGCGTTGCTGAGCTCTCCGCTCCTCTTCTCAGCGTCCCCTCTCTAACACCTCCAATTTTGTTCCATTTTGTTTTTCCTTTGTCCCTCGGTAACATCTCCTCAAACAGACACAAAAGTATTTCCTTAACAAGAGACAGTCATTTCCTTCAGAAAGAAAATAACTTTTTTGCCCCTTCACAGCATTTTAAGTATTGAGAATATTTGTCTGCCTCAAGACAGGAGAGCAGAGTGAGAAAGAAAAGCTCCAGCTGGGTGACTGGACAGGTTAAGCAATGGTGGGAGGCAGGTGCCTCAGAACATTCCAAATGAAAACGATGTCATCAATTTTTTTAAATATCCTTTACATCTGTCCCAAAATTAAAATATTTAAATTTATTGTTTTCTGTTAATTCTAAACTTGAGGTCACTCTTTTTCGCCTAACAGTTTTTGGTCATTTTCTAATTTAAGATTCACTTTCTTCAGTTCTGTGTCTAAATGAGAAATGAATACTTAAACTTCAGCATGTATAAGGATCACTGAGATTTGGGGTTAAAACTACAAATTCCTGATTCTCACCCTGATACTCTGAGAAAGGAGCCAGGTAATGGATCTCAGATACTGTAACCATTAACTTGGGAGATTCTGATATGTGGTTGATAAGATATACATTAAGAAACACTAATCTAGTCCATTGGTAAAAGCATTAAACAACACTGACTTACTTCTCACCTCCAAGAAGTACCATGAACCACTGTCTCCTCAGATGTAAAATAATTCATAGCGATTTCTTCCTAAAATTATGCAACCTCTAAAATGACAAAAATTGGTAAAAAAAAAAAAAAAAGGGTTTGTAATTTTTACTGGAGTTTGGAGGTGGAAAAGACAAGTTTAGGCGTAGATGTACATACAAGAATGAAAGGCTTCTGTAGGCTGAGGTTTTCATCTATTTCTCTGCTCGATTCCTAGCACCAGACCAGTGTCTGGACATGGCAGATCATAACACATATGGGAGTGTTAAATACTATAGCAATCGATGATGGAAACAAAAAGAAAAGTTCTGAGGTTGCTTTATTATATTTTCTGAGGTACTCAAGATCCAAAGAAAATGGACACAGAAGATAGAATGTGAAAAACCAAGTAGCAAAGTGTTTAAAATTAAGCTATTCTCTTAATTGTCAGGGAAGGAAAACAGTAAAGGCTAAGTTCAAATAAGAAACCCCCAGTGATTCCTCTAGGATATCATCACATACATATGAAAATAATCTCCTGATTACTAGCAGAAACAAATTACTGGAATGTACCTGAGAAAACTGAATTTCCAACTAGATCAGACTCTTCTGGGAAAACTGAGTTTTAAATTAGTTTGTACTCTCAATGTGCTCTTTGTACAAATCTGATGTCATCCTTCAAAGGCAACTTTCCAGAGGCCAACATCATTGCATTCCCTCTTCACTTCATTTAATTTTTAAAATGTGTGTTAGAGCAGAGACCTTACGAAGAACATCTCTCTCTTAAGAAAGTTTAAACCTGTGGGGATAGACATTTCATCTTATAACAGCAACAACAAGAAAACCTAACTCTGATATTATCTGCTGTTAAGAAATTAGTTTATGAAGCAAACAATAGGCAATCTAAAATATTTCTCTACTAGTAGCAATGCTGTAAACACTTGGTAGGAGAAATATAACCTTTAAGAGACATCAGCTATTCACAGAAAAGGACTCTGCATTATACAAACATCCTGGTAGAAACACGTGACCTATGTAGCCAATTTCTGTATTTTGATTGTGCTGTTGTGTATTGTAAGTGAATGTATTTTTCTCCAGTCCTTGCTCCTTTGACCTTTTAGAGTCTCACTGAGACTCCAAAAGCAGCAACCAAAAGCACAGTGTTCCGTTTTGGAAGCATTCAGAAAGCAAGGCACTGTGGCTAAATTTAGTTGTAGCATTCAGAATTTAAAAACACATTTGGCCATCTTTCCAGGAGAAACGTAGTCACCCACTTTTGATTTAAATAAATTGGTCAAATAATAGTTGCTTCTTCTTAGTTTACCATGTTTAAAAGAAGGGACAGGGATGCTGGAAAGGACAATAACAAAAACGGACCATGCCAGGCTTTATAATGGTTGCAACTCAGCCATGCTCATTTTGTAGGCCACCAAACAATGGAAACTTTGTGTTCATTTAAAATGATTCTGGCTCAGAAAACACAAATTATAATGAAAACTGAGGCAACAAAATTAGAAGCTGAAAACATTGAGAACTGCTCATGTTGAAGAAGTATTGTCTGCTTTATCAAGAATTATATTAGACACAAACTTCACAAAATAATTGAAAGTTAGTATGAAATAAGAGAATCATTCTTGTAAGTAGTAGTTCATATCCTGAATGATAACATGGGAAATAACATGTATCTTTAAGAATTCAAAGTTTGCTCACTTTAGCAATAGCCCTGATGTTAAGTCATATATTATTTATAGTACTTATTCAGAAATCTGTTTTCTAGGTAACAAAATTTGAAAGAGCACACAAAGTCACAGAAATTCAGTTCTTCGGCCCCACAAAGTTAAATTAATTTCTATGAGAAATTGCTAGATCAGAGGCTAGATGTGATTTAGAAGTTTGACCCAAGTGTAATCTAGCTTTGTGCATTGAAAAACTGTATTTTGAAAAGCAGCTATTTTTTTATTTTATTGTGGAAAGAGCACTTAACATAAGATCTAATTTCTTAACAAACTCTTAAGCACACAATACATTATTGTTGACTAAAGGTACAATGTTGTACAGCCTAATTCTATAATTTATTCATGATGCCTAACTGAAACTTTATGCCCATTAATTAGTAATTCCCATTTCCTCTTCCCTCTACCCCCTGGAAAACACCATTCCACTCTTTGATTCTATGAATTTGACTATTTTAGATATATCATCTAGGAGGAATCAGGCAGTATTTGTCTTTCTGTGACTGACTTATTTCACCTAGCATCATGTCCTCAAGTTTCATCCATGTTGTAGCATATTGCAGAATTTCCTTCTTTTTTAAAGCCAAATAGTATTGTCTTGTATGTATATGCCACATTTTCTAAAAAAATAAATAAAAGGTAGTTTTCTCAGAATTTATAAAATTATACATGAAGAGAAAAGTCAGGCTGGTGTCTTGAATGATAAGGTTTTCTGCGGACCTCAGTACTTAGCTGTCAATACATGAGCCAGCAGCAGTAGAATTCAGTGTGTAAGGAGGGGAGCAAGAGAAAAAGGGTTAAGAAAGCTACTCCCTCCTTCTCCCCTTCTCCCCACCTGCCCTCATGGATCTAACCTTACCTGGGGATCTAACCTTACTATGAGGTAGTGTCTATTGTTGGTCAAATCTGCTGGACTTGGAGAAACACTGGGAAGATAAGGGAAGGAGTGTGGGGGGAAAGTACGAGAGGAGCAGGTAACTCACCCAGACCAGCCTCTCTGTCACCTGCTTTGATCGGTTAGCCTAAGAATAAGGTTTCCCAAATCCCTCTGCCCCATCCCACAACAAACACGAAATATATCCACACAACTGCACGTATCTCTACTTCGTCATGCGTAAATCCAAAATTTTAACTGTCTGTAATCAAAGCAATTTTTAAAAGCTGACCAAAATCAAGGCAGGTCAGGTGTCTTCCCGAACCACGCTCTTTCCGCCTAACTATGGCAGAATTCCTAATAAAACAGCAGTTGCGGGGAGTGCTGCGTGAGGAAGGCCCACAAAACAAAGTCTAGGAACAAACAACCCTACCTCACCACAGCTTCCAAATATTTAAGGGCTTCCTGAATTAGATTGTGTATTAATAATAAAGCTCCAGTAGGGCACACACTGGAAATAGTTGTTTCTCTTACTGCATGACAGGTGCGAAGGTCAGAATGTAGACGCAGGAATGTTTGCCCATAGCCGAGGCTGAGTTCCAAATGCTGCCTTCAGCACGGCAGTTTTATTGCAAGAAATGCTTCCATTTCAAAGGCATCAATTTTGGAAGTCAGCAAATTATGAGCAGGAATACCAAGAAACTGCACCAAAGAACATTGATGAAATCTTCCCCCACCCCCACCCCCAAACTACAAATCTTGAATGCAGCTATGGGGAGAATGGTTGCTTGTAAAACACAGATAATTGTGAGAGTCCAACTCAAAACCTTTGGTGAGGTAAGTATCATTGTTTGGCATATGAGTTTTGCACAAAGAAAACCATATGTTGATAAGAACAGGATGAGTTGGGAGAGATTGTCAAAGGCCATAAATTTTAACAATTGGGGACAGATGTGGTCTACCATCACTTCAAAATAGACACAATAAAGCACAGAGGAACAAGGACTGTGGAGTCAAGGAAGAACAAGGACTGTGGAGTCAGGCTGACCTAGATACTGCTTTCACCACGTTTCACTGGCTAGGAGGCCGTGAGCAGTTTCTTATAACTGAGTCTGTTTTATTATCTTTAAAATGAAAACAGGAGAATTACCTCATTGCATTCCTGTTGGATTAAGCAATACAATGCGTGCATGTTATTTAGCATAACGCCTTGTACATCACAAGTAAATGAATCTGGGTTTGAGTATTTTTTTCAGTTTTTTTCCCCACCCGATAAATTAGGAAAATACAGCAATGATCATTTTGGATCTGATCATCTACCCTGTGTTCCGCCTTTGAGTGTAGGATCAGAGGGCATTTTATGGGAAAGCATCATAGTCACCCCTATCAGTATCCTGATATGGAGCATTATGAAGTAGATCTAAGCCTCTATTTAGTAGTAATAATGATAAGCAAATGGTTTTTGCTTACCTTTTAGGGTTATACTGTTTCTGTAGTTTTTAAATTCTTTATGTACATAAATATTTTTCTTTTAAATATTAGTGCTCACTTTGGCAGCACATATGCTAAAATTAGAACAATACAGAAAATATTAGCATGACACCTGCTCAATGATACCATGCAACTTCATAAAGTAGTCCACATTTTTATGAAAAGAGTTCTGTGTATGGATGGTGGTGATGGTTGTATAGTAGGAATGTACTTAACACTGACCTGTTCATTAGAAAATGGTTAACATGGTAAATTTTATGTTATATGTATTTTATTACTGAACAAAAATTAGGGAAAAATGAATATTAATGCTACTTCATTAAGAGGACCCTGAGTTCTTAAAATGCTGATCCTTTGTCAACAGTTTTATATATTCAAATGGTTGTAGAATGGCTAAATTGCTAGTCCTTTGTTATTCAGCAAAGCAGAGGCAAACACAGCATTAAAATTCTAAATATTACAATGTGAAGAGACTGACTGGAGCAAGCCGGTTTTTGTTTATACATTTATGCTTACTACATAACAGCTCAGAAGAATAACTATGTAGAATCACTTGTTATTACTGAATTTTCCACTATTGTATTTTTTTATACTTACAGAGAGACAAGCTGGACTGGAGAGAGTAATCAAAGCATAATTGTGTATCAAATTGATGCATAACTGCAACTTAAAACATTTTAAATGTTCTTGTGTTTTTTATATTTTCCTGCACAGAATTCACTAGAAAGATTTTCTAGGGACTAAAATGACCAGTTTAAACAACTTGTGTATGAACATGAAACATGAAAATACTTTACTGCAAGTGAGTATTCTCAGCCCTGCTGCAGTTTCCATTCTTCTATAATTTAACATTTCATCAAGCGATGAATATGGTGATGGATAATTTTGAAAAAAGTACAGTTGTTTTCCTTTTTATTTTCTTGCAATCTGAAGATAATGGCCTCTTGTTTTCATTATCAAGTTGAGCTCCACTTACATTTACATTCTTAAATTCTATCTTCTGTCTGTTACAATAAATGAATTGTTCCTGTTCCTACCCACAACTCCATTGTTCTTCTTCCCTTTATGGACAAAACTAATTGGGATGCCAGAGGGAAGGGAGGTTGGGGGACTGGGTGAAAAAAGTGACGGGATTAAGAAGTACAACTTGGTAGGTACAAAACAGTCCTGAGGATGTGAGTTATTGGAATACAGCATTGGGAATGTATTCAATAATACTGTAATAATGATATGTGGAGTTGGATGGGTACTGGACATATCGAGAGGAACACTTTGTAAACTGAATGATTGTTTAACTCCTATACTGTACACCTGAAACTAATACAAAATACTGTTATTGAATGTAAACTGTAATTAAAAAAATAAAATATAAAAAAACTAGCTGAAATAATTATTTCAACTTCCTCCCCTCTTATTATACACCCAACCCACTTCAGTCAATTTCGCAGCACTGCCATCTCGCCCTGCTCAGCGGTCAGCTCTCAAGTGTCATCATCCTCACCCTGCCCGCAGCATTTGATAGTCATCATTACCTTGTTGACGCGTTGTCATTTTTGACATCTACCATGTTAATTTTCCTGCTCCTTCAGCAGCCTCTCCTTGGTCTTGTTTGCTTGCTTCTTTCCCTCTTGCTAACCTCTAAATGCTAACAGGCCTCGGGACTCAGGCCAGGGCTCCATCTTCTCCTCTATCAACACTGCCATGTGGCCTCACCTAGTCCCACATGCAAATGCCATCTGTCTGCTAATGACTACCCAACGTATCGGTCCGGCCTTGACCACCCTCTGAATCCTAGGCTTATGTATCCAACAACTTACTCCTCAACCCCATTGAGTATTTACTAGGCATCTGCCCAAAGCAACAGCCTTAATTACCCCTCCAGAACCTGCTCCTTCCAGTCTTCTCTATCTGACTCAGTTGCTAAGTCCAAAACCTCAGAACTTATCTTTGCATTCTCTCTCCATCTCCCCTACAATAAAACTATTAGCAAGTCTTGCCAACTTACAGACACCAAAACATTTCCTAAATCTAGTCACTTTTGCTGCCTCCCTTGGTACCATACTTGTGTTTTATCATCACGTCTTACATAACTCAACCCGTGCACTAGCTTCCTCTCAAATCCGCTGACTTCTGTTCCTTTCTCTCACTGCATTCTCCATGAGCAGCCACATACAGTGTTACAAAACTAGTTCAGGTAGTGTGGCTCCTCTACTCAAAAGCTCCCAGGGTCTAGGCATCTTGTGTAGAATAAAATCCAGTCCTTTCACCTCCTGGTCTTGCCCTGACCACCTTTCAGAACTTAGCCTGTACCATCCTCTTTTCTCATTTTTATTGCTTTAAGAAAAGATGCCCTTTTTATTCCCCAAACACCCCATGTGTTTCCCACCAGGGGGCTATTTACTGACATGGAGTTGGTTTTTTAATAAATATCTACTGAACAAATGGTTGTAAATGGGGCTGTTTTCCTTCGCCACTCTCTCTTATTTTCTGTTAATTTGTACAACTTCCTGTAGCCACACTCTGTATTACAACCAAAGAAAAAGAACACAATAAGTATTATTTTAGGGTTGCCAACTGTGTGTTAGTGAGTGTTTCTTTTTCAAGTGAGAGACCTAACAGAAGGAGTGGCTGCCTTAAATCAAAGCAGCATGTCTCAAAATCAAGGCAGCTGGGAGCATGTCTCAAAAAGAAGCCATGCAAGATAATTAAGTTCTATAGAGCTGCTGTACAACAACATTCTGGCTATAGTTAACAACATTGCATTGTGCACGCTTAAACATTTGTCAAAATAGTAGAACTCATGTTAAGTGCTCTTGCCATGATAAAAATAAAAAATTAAAAAATTAAAAAAAAAAAAAAACCTTCCCACTTTCAGATTCATTACATAACCTTGCTGAGATATAGCATATCTGAACCTTGAGTTCTGTGGGTGGGGCTTCTGCTAGGGTCAGATTATAGGTAGGGGCCAACAATTTGCATTTGTACTAGCATCATATCCATCTTTTTACCAGGAATCATGATCTGATCAGTTCTTGCCACCATTTCCCGCCCCTCTCCCAGTCTTCTATCATCCTTCTGTGAGTGGTGTTTTTTAACTAATCTTTCATCTAAACTACCAAGTTCTTCACAGATTTGTCCCCAAAATAGTAATTGATTCTTACTTGATTCCAGGCCTTATCTTGACCCTGGTGATATAAAATTTATTTATTTATTTTAAAGATTTTAAAACTTTATTTATTTTTAAAGAGAGGGAAAAGGAGGGAGAGAAAGGGAGAGAAGCATCCGTGTGTGGTTGTCTCTCGCATGCCCCCTACTGGAGACCTGGCTGGCCACTCAGGCATGTGCCCTGACTGGGAATCGAACCCTCAGCCCCTTGGTTCGCAGGCTGGGGCTCAGTTCACTGAGCCACACCAGCTAGGGCTGGTGATATAAAATTTAAAACAATAGATTGACATGTGTCTATATGACATAATTCTCTTACATTCCTTGAAAGAAAATTGCTATATTAATCTAAATATTTTACATTTAACTTATTCTGTGTTCCCCAAGGTTCCACCTAAACTTCGTCCCCATTCTCTACTTTCCCACTTTATTTTCGTTGCATACTGTATATATCTCTCAGTAAGTGACATTGACTAGCATTTCCCATTATGTTCCTTTGCCTACATTCTTCAATTTTGCATCAGCCAAACTGCTTTCTACCTTAAATCCAAAGCCAGCCCAAATGCTGATGAATCTAGGAAGGCTAAGTGGCAGAGCCAGGAATTAAAAAGGTACCTGCTGCAAGTACCATGTGTAAAATACTGAGGGAAGCCACAACATAAGCAAAGCCAGGCACTGTCCTCAGGACATTATGATTTAGTGGACAGACTTCAATGCACTCTGAGCAGAATTCTATGACCAAAGAAAAATCATAAAATGTGGCAATTCTGTATGGTTGAGAGAACTGTAAGGGCTTCAAGGAGATGGAAACTGTATTAGGTGGTAACAAGTAAACAAGATTTTGATAAGGACAAATAACTGAGCCTTCCAGACAGAGAGGGAAAAGAGGCATGAGGAGAAGAATCCCGAAGGAAGATCCTTCTATCCTATAGCAGCAAACTGACTTTCTGAGATCTCATTCAGCTTGCAGACAAGGTTATCTGTCAGACTACGTTTAAAGTTTGTTTGGCAATAATAATGACAGATGAACAATATAGACTCACTCTTGTGAGTCAATATGAGTGGCTTTGGCAATATCAAGACAAGGTATCTCTTACTCAAAGTGCATAACAAAAAAATCACACATGCACAGATAGAAAGCATCCTTCAAGGATCACCTGAAGCCATAGCGAGGGCAGTTGTTATCTGCAGCTAGAGAATGACAACAGAAGACAGAGTTTCACAGAATTTTAGCCACAATAACACAGATAGGGATTATTTGAGCAGGAAGAGATAGCCAACTCCTCTACAGCAAGACATGGCTACAGACCCAAACAGAGAAGGATGTTATAGGTGGTTCTTATGTTTCTCTTCATAATGCCTTTCAGCTTTGTGCATATAGAACATACCATGTGAGATCCAGAATATGTTTAAACAGTATCACTGCTAAGTAGAGTGTGAAGGAAGCAAAGGGAGTTTTTGGCTTCCTTTCATTTCTTTTACAAGAGCCCTTCTATCCTCTGGGAAACCATTTCCTCAGTCTTTTTGCTTTCTTTTTTACTCCACACCCCCAAAATTATATTTAGTGTTTTAAATATAAATAGGAGTCACTTTGAGTTCAAGTTCTTTCCCACAGGCACACCCAAACAGCCATCGCTTCCTCTACGATTTCTATACTCAGCCTTATAAATTACATGCAGCAATTGCAAAAAAAATTGTTTTAACTTTTAAAAAAACATAAAAAGGATAAAGAAAAGCAGGTGCGTGTTTTAGTAGGGGACTGTCTTAGGGCCCATGGTGTTTCAGCTGAATACTGTCATGAGAGTCCTAGCTCCACAGGCCAACTCTTCGGAGCAGTCATTTCTTCATTTGCTCTAAGATTCTGTCACACAGCAAAGGGTGGTTATTTTAATGGGAACTGTTCAGTGTAGGGCAATGTGTTCACGAAGCATCACCTGAGAAAGGGGTTGGATGAGGTGCATTGACTCCAGGACTAACGTTCTCACTCCGGCCTAG